TTCGGGACTTGGACCGTTCGGGTCGGGTTCGTGGGTACGAGCCATTGGAGGCGTTCACACTTGTGACGCTCGAGCTTTCGAAGTAAGAGCTTGATATGCGAGCGAAGCACGCATCAAAGGTATAATATTTTATCCTTTCTTATGCCTTAAAATTATGTTTTGCTTGTTAATTGCATTTATTATAGGGGCGGTTCTTGGCGGGTTTCATTCCGCGTAGTGTGGGTCACTACGAAACCCAACAGTATACTACTTTGCCTCATGCTTAAGTCTTCAACATTGTTGAGGGTGAAATTCGGAGGAATGGCACTACAAGCCAAGTAATTCACAATGTCAGCATACCATGGTTCTAACTTCTCCTTAAGAGCATATAGAACATCATCCTTCAAAGAATCTTCAATTGGTAAGTCATCATCTTGCACTTTATCAACTCCTAGTCTTGAAAGGTGGTCGGCCACTTTGACAAGTAGTGAATCACATGAAGCTTCCCACCTTTTCCTTGTCCCAAGACCGCACCGATTGCTTCATCACTTGCATCACACATTAACTCGAAAGGTAAAGATCAATCGGGGCCTTGGACAATTGAACTTCATGGTTGGGGACACATTTTCTTAGAAGACCATCAGCTCCCTCTTTCAACAATATAAGATCATCCCATGTATACTTCTTTGCCTCATGCTTGAGTCTTCAATATTGTTGAGGGTGAAATCCGGAGGAATGGCACTACAAGCCAAGTAATTCACAATGAGAGCATACCAAGGTTCCGATTTCTCCTCAAGAGCATATAGAACATCATCCTTCAAAGAATCTTCAATTTGCAAGTCATCATCTTGCACTCTATCAACTCCTAGTCTTGAAAGGTGGTCGGTCACCACATTTTCGGCTCCCTTTTTGTCTCTAAGCTCCAAATTAAAGTCTTGGAGTAATAGCACCCACCCCAACAACCGAGGCTTGCTTCCTTTTTGGTCATGAGATATTTTAGGGTCGAATGATCCGTCCGAACAATTGTCTTGGACCCAATGAGGTAAGACCGTGATTTCTCAAATGAATGCACAACTGCCAAAAACTCCTTTTCGGCTGTAGTGTAATTATTTTGTGCCTTATTAAGGGTCTTTGACAAGTAGTGAATCACATGAAAAATCCCATCATTTCCTTGTCCCAAGACCGCACTAATTGCTTCATCACTTGCATCACACATTAACTCGAAAGGCAAAGATCAATCAGGGCCTTGGACAATAGGAGCGGAGCACAACACTTCCTTTAATATACAAAAGGCACTCATACAAGCCTCATCAAATACAAAGTCTTTGTCTTGTTGCAATAAAGTAGTGAAGGGCTTGGCAATTGAGGATAAGTCCTTGATAAACCGGCGATAAAAACCGGCATGACTAAGGAAACTTCTTACTTCCTTCACATTAGTCACTACAACCACCAATACAAGTCTACAACCTCCACCACAAATGTAACCCCTTCTTTATCACTACACCAGCTAATCCTTCATTCTCCTCTACGGCGACCCACTCAAACGTTGCATCTTTCATCACCAACTTCGACCACCACAAAGTGTCGTCAACCACAAAATTGAGAGCTTGGTGGTCGAATTTGGCTATGGTGGTTTCAGATCTAGAATTGTTGGCCAAGTTTGACCACCATGGCCTTGATTTTGGTGAATTTAAGCCATTTTACAAATTAAGGCGGCGACTGCGTACGGTAGAGCCGTGGTGGTGATGAGAGAAGGTGTGAGGGGAGGAGCTCGGAGACCATCGTCTGTGAAGAAGGAGACAAGGGTGATGATTAATGTTGCGGTGGTGTTTCAAAAATATTGTTAGGGTGGTGGAGATGGGTGGCTGCCATGGATAACTTGGAGGAGTGAGAAAGGATCTCAAAGAACTAAGGGGTTGAATGATTAAGGTGAGACAGGGGGTAAGGTAACAAAAGGTATATGGTTTTAATTGTGTTAAAAATATAAGGCTAAATAAGTAAAAGTGTAGTGTTAAATTTGCCAAAAAAGGAAACAAGTCAAGTAAAAAGAAACTTCCAAAAAAGGAATACATATCAAGTAATAAAGAACGGAGGAAGTATGTTTTCCTAAGGAATCTTGTCATATCCCTTAAGTTAAACCTCGCAGCTTGCGCCTTAAAAGTTCAAGATTACGAACAAACTAAGGAGCTCGGCTCGCTAGTCATTATGCTTGATGATAACAACACTAAAGCCCTCTATAGAAGGGCTTTAGCCGAAATCAGGCTCTACCAACTTGAAGAGGCTTTAGAAGACCTTGGCAAACTAGTCAAGGCTAATCCTAACAACCAAGACATCCGCCGTGAAATGGAGAAGGCACAGGGTCTAAATATTAAAGCTAGCAAGCTCAAGGGCAGGAGAGGCGTTGAGGATTCCGACCTGCCTCATGCCATCTTCAATAAAAAGGGGAAGATTAGTAAGTAAGATATCAGCCTAGAATCTAACAAGTTGCCTAGTAGTGATGTTCAGAGTGATGTTACGGAGTTACCTAACATGGACGTTGCTAGTGAGATGGAGGTAGAGAACCTTACCCCAACAGTATAAGTAACTCCTCCTTTGGAAAAAGGGGATGAAGGCTACCAGCTCCGATCCCCAATCCACCAGGATTTTAGGCATGCTAAAGACAAGTGATCGAGGAAAGGCCATATTTTCCTCAACAGATTGAGAAGTAATCAGTCCCTTAAGATTTTAGATGTGTCTTACTCGGACCTAAGTTAAGGGAAAACCTTGAGTTTTTTGAAACATTTTGCTGCTTCATGGATGACTATTACGAGTGAAGGAAAAGACCACCCATGATGGTCATCTTGATTCTCCCAAGGCTAAGGACTCTAAAGTTTCTGAAACCTTGTTCATGCCCATTATGATGATGGGGCTGATAAAGTGGGATTGCGTCAAGAAGAGCCAAAAGGAAAAGGCTAAGCGATCTATGGGCACCACCATGGTCAACCATATTGTTGGAATTCCCAATTCCAACACCGCTGCCGTTGAGAAGTTAGATGATCATATATCTACTGGCCTAGCTTCCAGGAGCAATTAGGGTCAAATATCGAGGAGGGGAATGAGGTTCATACGAGAGATTTAACTACCACTAATATTGCTGAAGTGGAAAACGTAGGTCTTAATGAGGAAAACCCCATGTTTTTTGAACTTGAACAGGTACGGTCATTTCCTCCACATCCTACCTTCACGTTTTCTGCCACGTCGAGGAAGTATGGAAGGCCAATCAGGTCAAAGGCAAAGAACAAGAAAGGTAAAAGGTACTCCAGGTTTTATTTTTGCATGATCAAGAAATGCAAGGGAACAAGTTTGGAACACCCTGTGACCGACGTCATCCCCTCAGTCCTCTTATTTTCATTGTCAAGAAGTTCACAACGTTTGTACCCCCTAATCTCCACTTTAGTTCTTGTATTAGCTTGGCTAAGAGAGTAAAATTTTCTCTTTGTAGTCTTGAGTCAGTTGGGAGCTAGCCTCCTTTTTGGACCGTTGTAAAAAAAAAAAAAAAAAAAAAAAAATTATCGATTATGTCTTATAAAGTCAGCCGTTTTTTATCGATTATGTCTTATAAAGTACAACTGATTGTAACATTCAGTCAAAACAAATCAAAGTAAAAAAAAAAAAAAAACATGCCTCCTCTCCCTCTTAAACTCTAGCCTCCATTGTTAATTTTGAAAGGGTTTCCATCGAATTTCACCAATGGGCCCCAATATTTGTTTCTTTTAAATTTTTTGTTTCTTAGGTTATAATAATGTCTCCTTCGAAAGAAAGGGTTTATCTCCTTCAAAAGATAAGGTTTTTTCGATCTCCTTCAAAAGACAAGGTTTTTCAAACTTCTTCAAAAGACAAGGTTTTGTTTGCGTTTGATATGGTCTCTAGTTGTACGGGGCACGACTGATTATTGCTCGGATTTGGGTTACAAAATCATCGCAAGAATTTTCTTTCTCAAAAAATTATGAAGTGACGATGGATCCACTCAAAAAGTTTTATGAGACAACAAATCGAGAATGTGCCGAATCGTTATATCTATGCACTTGGATTCTTAGCCCTTCCCCGATTATTTCTTATTTGATTTTGTTAGATCTGTTCTCATTGTCATTATGTAGATGTAGTATGACTTTAATTAATGAAATATAATGTCCTTCAGGACTTCTTTCAAAAACAAGTTATCATCGAATTTTTATTATGGTTTAAGATGTAGTTTTAATATACCCACTTCTGCCATTTGTTTAATTGACTCTTACATTATACTCCCTCTGTTTCATAATTAGAAGCCTATTTTCCATTGTTTACGGGAATTAAGGAAGTTGGTTGGGAGTAAAAATACGAATGTGTGGTTAGAGAGAGATAGAGAGAAAAAAAAGTAGTTGAGAATTATTGAAGAGATGGAGAGAGAGAGTGTTGAGAATTGATGCCAAAAGTACAAAAAATAAAAAGAAAAAGGATGACAAATCATCGAAAAGAGGGTATTATTGTCAAAAAGTACTATCTATAAATAGAAACAGACTTCTAATTTTAAACATCCAAAAAAGGAAAACAGGCTTCTAATTATGAAACCGAGGGAGTACTAAGTGATTTATCACATTATCTACTACAAAGAAGAACGGAATAAATATACAAGTAATTGTATTATGTCCATATAATTTTTAGGCCAAATTAGAAAATAACACCTGCTAAAGACCCCGATTTTGATAATAACACCTGTAAAAAAAAAAGTTTTATTATAACACCACCAAAAATCCCAAAATTTTGGTTTCACCACCCACTAACGGATTTTTGGATGAAATCCGTTAGTGGGGCCCGCCATGTACACGTGTCAGTTGTTTATTGGTTTTTTAAAAAAAAAAGAAAAAAGATATTTTTTTTTTTTAAAAAAAAAAACCTAACCCCTAACCCAACCAGCCCCACCACGGGCACCACCTGCCCCAGCCAAGCCAGCCGCCGGAACCCTCCTAACACCCAGCCAGACCCAAAAACCTCCTCCCCTAACACCGACAACCCCTTCCCTAACGCCGGCACCGCCCGATATCCCCTCCCCTAACACCAGCACCGCCCTAAACCCCCTCCCCTAACACCGACAACCCCCAAACCTCCTCCCTTAACACCGACATTCCCCTAAACATCCTCCACTAACACCGAAAACCCCCGAAACCTCCTCCCATAATGCCGGCAGCCCCCGAAACTTGCTCCCCTGTAACCGATATTCCCAGAAACCTCCTCCCCTAACACCCGCAAATCTGGGTTTAATTCTAGCTTTGCGGGGGGGCTACGGTGGTGGTTGGGTTGGTGGGTCGATGGGGTTTGTTGGGAAATAGGGGTTCCGGCGGCTGGCTTGGCTTGGCTTGGGCGGTGCTGGTGTTAGGGGAGGAGGTTTCTGGGGCTGGCTGGGTTAGGGGGTTAGTTTTTTTTTTTTTTTTTTTTTTTATTTTTTTTTATTTTTTATAAACCAATAAACAACTAACACGTGTACATGGCGGGCCTCACTAACGGTTTTCATTCAAAAGTCCGTTAGTGGGTGGTGAAACCAAAATTTTGGGATTTTTGGTGGTGTTATAATAAAACTCTTTTTTTGACAGGTGTTATTTTCTAATTTGACCTAATTTTATAACAAAAATAAAATCTCGTGAAATTACCTTGCATAGTACGGGACCTAACCTCCTTAGAGATATAAACTTGTACTCCGTATTTTCCAATTTACCCATCAATCCAGCATGGTTTTCAGCTTACTCCGAATCACTTTCACAGTTTCACGGCTTCATTAGTTCAAACTTCAAAGTTTCAAACACACACATCTTTCCCGCACAAAACCGTATTCCTTAACGATTTCAGTTCATCTCATATCACTTGAACTCAAAACATCAAAAACCCTAAAACCCAAAATATCCCCAAATTAATTCCTTCTTAAACCCTAACATCACTTAAATTCTTAATTTCTGGATGATCTAAGCAGAAGAAAGCAACAATGGCGTCGAAGGAGCCTGATGAGAAATGCAGTAACACTAAAACAGGAGAAGAAACGATTGCATTAGAGAAGAGGCGTTCGAGATCGAGGAGAGTGAGCTTTGCTGAAACCACTGCAATTCACTTGTTTATTAGGGATGAAGAGTGCGATACACCTCCGGATGTTGAGGGTTCCAACAATGGATTGTTGCACAGGAGTGAGAGTGAAGAGATTAGGGCGCTGCTTGCCGATGATGATGATTTTGATAATGGTGGTGGTGATGATGACGGGGTTGCGGTGGAGACCTCTTTTTTACGGCCTTTTGAGTCGCCGTCCCCGGGTAGCTGCTTTGGGTCCGCTACTTCCAATGATGGCAAGATTTTCTCTCCCCTATATTTCTTTTTATGTCTATTTTAATTGAAGTTGAAAGTCTATGATTGATATTTATTTGGGAATATTGATTACAATGAAGTAAGATAGATGTCTTAATGACCTTTCCTTGATTTGAACTCACTTACAAAAAACTGGTTGCAATTAAAAGGGTAAGGCTAACTAAGTCTCGTCGCAATTTTAAGGGTAAGAACCTGCTTTTGGTGGGTGCATTTAGACGCTTTGTGAAATTGTGAGTAATGAAATATTGGTATGTTGGGTCATGCTATGGATTTGATGTGCCATGAGCAAAGTAAAATCCGTGTGTGTGAGAGAGAGGTTCATTTTTTCATGGTTGCACAAACTTTGTAAATTAGTCCCCGTGAGCCTGTGACCATGTTGATAGGACCGTGCCTTGATATAAGTGTGACATTTGGTGTCAACCTAAAATGTATGGCTAGAGTAATTGCGAAATAAAGTGATATGATCGTGAATAGAATCTGTATGTTAGAATATAGAATGATATGTTTTACGAATGATATTGTGCAACTAGCCTTTTAATTAAGGCATAGTCCTTTGCTCCTCCTATCCAGAACTTTGGCTGTAGTAAGACACATGATAAAAAATTGTGCCAGAGCTTAGGCTTTATAAAAGTTAGGTGTTAGTGGAAGATGTAGAAACTGGCCTTGTGCTTTTCTTCACATCCTCTTTGCAGTTTGCATGTCAAGGAGTTGCTCAAGGAGACTAGAGTATGCTACTTGCTGTGATTTTGCTGAACCCACATCTGCAAACATGATCAAGAAAGCATGCTAAATGATTTTGTTATTTTTTTTCCTTATTAAATTGCTCTGCTTAAAACATTTTCTATGATATTTTTTCCAAATTGCTTTGAATTAGGAGAAAAAGGATGTAAGGTATTTCATAGAAGCATGTCCATAAATCTCCATTAATGGGCTATAGACCTATTGTGTTTGGGTTATGGCTAATTGGCGTATCTGGGATTTGCATATCTAGTTATTTTCATTTTCAACTCCTTAAACCAAGCTTTTTGCTTCTTGTTTCCCAACTTTTTACTTAACTAGAGGATTACTCCTAAATTGAAGTCGAGTACATGTTATTACTTAGTAGCTTTCCATAGGTGGATTAGCTGAATTTGAGAGTAGGCTCTTGCCAATCTGGTTTTGAGGTTGTCCCAACAAAAAAGTAAATCTTTCATGTCAGTTTGGTATGGAAGAGATTAGATCTTTAGTCAAGTGGTCCAGTATATATTTTTAGTGTATTGTTTTGTTTTTGGTTTGAGAAATGAAAATTGAGATGAGTGATTAAAAACCTTTGATTTCATTTTGGATGTCTTTGGTAAATTAAGTCAATTGTTGAATTGCTTTACTCTACAGATTTAGCTTTCTTACTTGTGAAGCAACACCAAAAATTCAATTTCTTTTATTCATATTTTTTGTACTGTACCTTTAGAATAAGATATTGGTTAGATTTCCTCAAAAAAAAAAAAAAAAAAAAAAGAAAAAAGAAAAGATGGTTAGATTGAGTAAAGATGCAAACTTGCAAACAGAAGTTAGTTTCTTAGTTAAGGTGTGTTTATTGTAAAATGGTCTGTTTCTTTCAAATTAAAACTTGTTTCCACACTTCTATCTTGCTTCCTTATTTATGAATTGTTCTAAGCCCATGGTCGATCTCATTTACTAATTTTTCAATTTGTCAAATATTTGCCAATTATGGGAAATCTCACTTTGGTGGAGTTAAAAATAGAACCATGCAAACTTTTAACCAAACAAGGGTGGTGGAATTACGTAACTTTGGTCTTTTGGATTGCTTTATCCGTTGAAATGTATTTCTAAAATATTAGCAGAAGGGATTGACCCTAACAATGTGCTAGGAGCCTGGGATTAGAGAAAGATGAGCATAAAGAAATATAAATAAATAATGGTGTTGGGGGATGAAGTAGAGGAGAAGGGATAAGGTGATGATGTATTGACGAGGATGAATAAGAAAAAATGTAGATCTTTATTATCAAATAAGTTGTTTCAGCTTTTCGCAAATGACTTAATTTCCTAATGATCAAAGAAATGACTAGAAAATTGTTATAGTATTCCTACACTCTCCTCATTACTCAGTTTTTTCTGAGTGTTTTCACCATTCTAGGAAATGAGATATGTTAATCTGGACATACATGACCTTGATTCTGAGTGGAGCAAGTAAATTGTTACATGCATTGAGAAATTGTGAAAAACTTGGGTACACTTTTTTATTGGTCAAGAACTCAAGATCATGCATAATCAACTAGAACCTGTGAAACTGCCAACTGCCAACTGCCAAGTGGTGTCAATTGTTACAATTTGGCAACAAACTAAGATAATCTCGATGTGCCAATTGCAGAATTTAATATTTTTGTGGGAGAAAATTAATGGAAAGGGGTTGAAGGATGTTAGGAAATAAGGATATAATTTTGTTTGATTAATGAGGAACAAGTCAATTAAAATTAATAACGAGAAAAGCAATAAAGAAGATAAACAAAGAACACAAGGATTTACGTGGTTCGGTCAAATTAGACCTACATCCACGGGTGGGGAATTCGAGAGCTTCTTCACTATGATGGAGAAAGAGCTACAGAATAATACAATAAGTCTTAAATCTTAATGGCCTTCTAAGGTGTGATCTAATTGATCACCTAAAGGGTCCTTTTATAACACAAAGAAACCCTAATAAAACCCTAAATTGTTCCTTAAGTATCCTTAAATAGCCGTCATAGAAGAAATGTAGTTTTAGGAAAAATTCCATAAAACATGTAAGCTTAAAACAGACCCAAAAAAACGCCCTACTCGTCTAGGCTTTTTTGGCCCGGCGAGCGCTTCGTCAGGTTTTCGTAAAACGGTTATAACTTTCTCGTTTCTTATCAGAATTGGGCATATGACCTATCGTTGGAAAGCTCTTGAAACAAGCTATGACCTCCAACTTGAATCACCTCAAAATCACTTATCGTTTGGGAGATATATGCATTCAAAGTTAATCCTAAGTGACAATTTAACAAAGGAGAAAAAAAAATACTAATTGGTTTTTGAATAGGTAAAAGGAGTTGTTAGAAGCACTCAGTCCTTTCAGCCATGTCGAATTTTCCAAGAAATTTGCATGAGGGCTGAGAATGTCATAAAATTATGAAATCCCTGTTTTTTGGGTGGCTATAAAATCACTTTTGCAACACTACTGAGCATCATTTGCAATGTGTCTTGTAGAAACAAAATGCCTCAGATCTTCTGAGTTTCTATAATTCTATTTGACATTTCGGCTGGTGCATATAGGTTTGTATGGAAAGGATACATTTTTTTTGGATGTGTAATATACTTTCTTGATTTTTAAATATGAGGCAAGTAAAGTATGACATTTTGTATTGCATTAATAGCATAAATATCTAGTGTTATAGTAACATTATGAAGAACATTTAACGTTTCCTTGATATTGTCAAATGATTATGTATTGAAACAATATAAATAGCTAAAAGAGCCTAAAACATAGTATATTTATAAACGGAAGGATAATTTGTCGTTTTCCGGGCATTCTGGTGGAGCTTACCTACCAAATCTGAAAACATCAAGCAGCTTCAGGTGCATTGATTGGTGAGGGTGCAGTTGTTTACATATATATTTGTTTCCTTCTATTAAATCATCTGGGGAGTTCTCTCTCTCTCTCTCATGGACAATTTTTGTTCCTATGGTACATATTTGTCCTTGATGAGAATTGCTTTCTCATTGTTCCTGAGAAAATAAATAAAATAAAGTAATAACCCAACAAAAAATCAAAGAAGCAGGACAATATATGATGCTAGAAATCACATTGAATGAATTATGTTAGAAATCCAGTATAGTAAAAAGTTGCATTATGCTCTGAATGGTTTCACTTGATTTTATATTACGATGGAATCCCCTTTTTTTATTTTTCTTCCAGAATTAAAATTTATTTCACCTGATGTTAGTAATAATGATAATGATCATCTATACTTTTTGCTGATTCCTGTTCTCTTTGCAATGTGAGGTTCTTTGGAGTTAAATTCATTGCTCTTGTAGTGTCAGGCTCTTATATTTTAATTAAGTGTGATGAGAACATCAATGTGGATAGATTTTCCCTTCTCTCCAATCTCTGCTAAGCTAGCTTTCATTTGTCATTGCAGAAGATAATTTCTTCGGACCTGTATCAGCTGATTTTATTAAACCTGGAAGATTATCAGATTCTGCAGCCTCTGATGAAAACCATGATCTTACTATGGATTCTACAGCCTTTTCTATGCACTTCCGCAGTTTGGCAAGATCAGATTCTGGAGGAGAGTTTAAAACACCTACTGCAGTCCGTCTGCCATTCGGTGAGAGAACTTCTGGCCAAATGTCCAGCACCACAAGTGGTGGGGATTTGATGGTACTGTCCGATTCCCAAAAGCGAGTCTCTGATTCTCAGCTTGCTGATAAAGTTAATGGTAGTGGCAATTCAGATGACATGAGCATCGTGGAAGAATACCAACGCATCTATGATTACGGGAAGCTACCTCAAGAATTGGATGTATTATTGACCGAAGATGGTAAGGATATGGGGGCTGTCCCTCTCACCAGTCAAGTTGAATGTTCAAACTCTAATAAATCCGTTACAGCGGATGCTAGATCTGGTTTACACCAAGATGGACGTGGTAAGGATGTGGGGACTGTCCCTCTTACCAGTCAAGTTGAATGTTCAAACTCTAAAAAATCCTGTACAGCAGATGCTAAATCTGGTTCACACCAAAATGGATGTGAAGTTCTGGATCTAGACAATAATGAAAAAGTTGCCCACCATATTTCTGATGGGGAAAAGGCATCTGATGGTGCAAACTCTGCAGTTCTTGTAAATATTGATAATGGAAATGATGGTATTCTTCATGGTATCCTTGCTGAGACATCTCATAATACCTCAATCAACATGGATGATGACTTGTTTCCTGCACACTTTTCTGATGATCAGAGTAAAACTCCATTTCTTCTGACAAATGTAAGTTTTGGTTTCTTTTTGTAGAATATCTGGAGTAGCTATACATCATTTCTAAATGGATGACCTTGTCTCGTTTATAGAAAAACTCCGATCCACAAGTTCAACTATCATGTCCAATAGTCAATTTAATAAATCTGATGCACTTGGAATTTTCTTCTTGGTTTATAATCAATTTTGCTTGTTTATAGTGTTAGTGAGAGTTATTCTCTAGCTATCTGTTTCTCTCCACTTTACTTTTAATATGATTTTATATTTCCATATTCTTGATTGTCAGATTTTTGAATTGGCTTTACATTGAAATGCTCAAGCACTTGTCCTAAAATTCAGATTTAATTTAGTTTGCGCTCAGGAAATTGAGATAGGGAAAAGAAAATGAGCTTATTTTTCTTAAACTCGGTGTTCTCCACATTGTTTTCTGTGGGAAATTTTCTCATGTATTCATTTTTTCTTTGCCGGAAGCTTCGATTGAAGAGATTCGATCTTGCATCTGCAGCTGAAAAAAATTGAGTGAATAAAAGAGGTGGGTTATTCTGGGGACTCAGCAAGGTTAATACTAATTTTTTTATGAACCAGAATTTTATTGTCACATTAAAACTGTATTCCAAGCTAGATGGCATTTCAAGCTTTTAATAACAATGTAAATGTTCTTTTTTGGAGTGCTAACTTGTTCCTTACCATTGCAAAATCACCTGAATTCTGTCATTTGGTGAAGCATGGGGAAATTTGTGTGACAGATTGTGAAATTTTTGTTAACCTTTTTGAGAAAAGGTTGCTTTGAAGAATCACTGCGTTAGCTGGTAGTGATACCTTGAATATACGTCACAGGAAAGATAGATGAGGGTTGACTGGTGAATTATTGATGCTTAATTTATTTTAATTCTGGTCTGGTTTAGTTTGCTTAGTATTAGAAACATCTTCTCGATTTGTTTGCCTATTTCTTTTCTGGTTCTAATTGGATAATTGGAAAACTAGGGTGTTGGTATGTAGGTGTCTTCCATGATCTCTTGGTTCATTACATCAATAACAGTGGAAATGTTATGCTTGTTGGCAGGTCATGCCAATTGACAAAGATGACGAAGCAAGGAAAGGTGCAGTGGAAGCTAATGGGAACCTATCCCCTCCAACACGTTCACGATCTATTTTGAATCATGAGCAGTCAATTGCTGGCTCTGTTTCTTCATTGCTTGCTAAACGTAGACAGATATTTAGGGTGTCACCAAATGATAAATCAAATTTCATTCTGTCTGAAAAGAATATACGTGACAAAGGAAGTAAACATGTCTTGAGCGCATCCTCTTTTGAGAAAGGTGCATCTAGGCTCCAAAGGCTTGAAGCTTTTCCATTTTTTTCTGCTTCAAAGGCCGAGGGTAATCCTTCTAGACTGCCATCAGAATCTGTACACAGTTCCTTAACCCGAAACAAAGTTTTGAAATGTGGAAGCAATGATGTTTTGGTAGCTGTTCCTGTTGCTTGCTTGGACAAACGATTTTCAATTGTTGCTGAGGATTCTGGAGACTTGCAGAGTATGTGCAATACGGGGATGTATAATGTGAGGACCACATTAAGAAATGCTGAGTGTGCAAGTTACACAGAAGCTAAAGATGCAGAATTGTCATCTTTGCATGCAGCTTCATGTACTCATGATAAATCAACAAAGTCTACTAGTTTTAGTGTTTCTCCTCTGGCACTTTCAAAAGAAAAAAGTGTAGAGCCTTTTGTGTCGACATACAGTTGTACCAATGAAACTGTAGTATCTACCAGAAGTGATTTCTCTATGCCAGAGATCACATTCAATGATTTGAAAAGTCACGAGGAAACTGGGATGCCTAATCATTTTGTATTTTCTCCTGTGACCAGTGTGGAAAGGAAGGTGTCAGCCTCTCCACTATATCAAGGATGTCTTTCTAAAAATCTGAACCAGCAGGCTGAGTTAAGCTTAAGCCTAGACCAAAACATATTGCTGGAGGCAGATGACTTAGTTTCAAGATCTGAAAATCATAATTCCTTACTTGCTGAAAGAAAGAAAGAGGCTAAGAGATCTTCTTCTAAAATCAAACATTTCGAAATTGCTTCCCAGGAGATGCAAAATGATGAATCCATGTGCTCTAATAAGGCCTCTGAATCAAAAAAACTAGTTATCAGAAGTGCCAATCTTGACACTGAAACCATTTCTGCAAGGGCACTCCCAGAGGAAACCATGAAATCTGTAATTGGTTCTGCTCCATCTTCGGATAATAATCTAATTGAGTTGCCCATTCAGGTCAGATTTCAGGTCAAATGTAGTACGTCTGTATGTATTCATTTGTTTGTTTTGGGTCTGCCTATTCTTGATTTGTTGGCCATGGATGTCATCAGCCTATGTATTCCCTTACCATTATATTTTGTCAGCTCATGATGATAATATTCCTATGTCTCTTGCCCTCTTATTATTACATGTGGTGGAACAGGTGTATGAAAATCTTAAAGAAGAGCAATCTTGTAGCTTGTTTCAGAAGAAGCCATGGTTAGTAGATAATGCAATTGTTGGAGTCACAGTCTTGACTCCTAGATCCTATCAGCGTGCCAGTGAACATGATGAAAATGACCAACCCTTGCAGAAATCATCTGATATATTTGGCAGTGATAACTCTTCAACTTTAAAGAGAAAATTATTTGATGAAGCTGAAAATGACAATGATGAAATCACTTCATTACAGCGTAAACCAAAATTGTGTAAAGATCAGAAGCACAATGAGGAAGATAGCAAGGAATTTCAAAGCATAGGAGGTGATATAACAGCAAGAGATTGGGTTGATGTAATAGCGTGCGCCCTATCGCCCCTATGGTTTCATCTTGAGTAGCTTTATGATTTTTCTGAAAGAAAATGGTGTATAGCGTACTATTCTCCAAATTTATTTGACACTTCTTTTAACCATTAACCTTGTAGGTTTTGAACAGCTTTCGTGGAATGACCAAACTGATGCCTTCAATGATTGACAAGTTGGATTTGGCTCAGGCATGTTTTCTCTTACGGCAATCTGTTATTTCCATGTTTTTTTTTTAACATCAGCAGTGTTGATTCGCCCCCCCTCCCCTTTGTATTCCCTATTGAATGATTATACATTATAGCTTCAATGTTTGAGGGCTTGTGATCCCTTTTTTTACCTTTCTGAAATCCTGAATAGACTCTTTATATCTCTGTTCCTTACAGATCAGTATTCTGAATGATATTTTGGTCCATCTAGAGAAGATGAGAAGTTATGAGCTGCTTCATCGGGACATATGCTCTCAGGTCTGTTTTTGGTCAACTTCATACAAGCTTTATTGTGTTTCATACTACAGAAATATGTTTCTTTAGCTAAAATAACTGCATATGAGTATGAATTTCATTTTTCATTTTACTTGTCTGCCTCAGAAAGCATTCGACTCTGCAAGCTTTCTTCAAATCAAAAGGTGAATTATTTAGCTATCCTAAGTGGTAGAGTGGTTGCTTTTGCTAATCAATCTTTGACATCCTCTTATTTGAATACAAATGTAGATTGGTGGACACAAAGTTGCTTCTTTACAAATCGTTATATCAAAAAGCAAAACTACAGCTGATGCATCTTGAGCAGAAAAGATTATCGGTATCAATTTTCATTTTCTTTTTTCATCCTTAAATTCAGCTCCGTATTCTTTCATCTTTTGTCCGTTTTATCGCCCAAATTTTTGTATGCAGGACCGAGTTTGTCAATTGAATTCTAGAGTTGAAGAAACAAAAATGCTGATATCTAGTTGTCAAGATTCTTGCATAAGTGTTCGAAGGGATGTTGAACCAGTATCTTGTCCTATTGATCTTAGCAAAAAGAGTTTGGTATGATCTTTTAAATAACTGTGATAGTTAGAAAGTCTGCTTTGATGTTTTAGGGTATTATTTGTGTGTTTGTTGTGCTACTATGCGAATCATGAATATCATGCTATTTTAATCATCAATAGTCTTTGACATTAATAAATAATCATCAATAGTCTTTTACATAAAATAAAAAATAAAAAATCTCATATGCGATCATGGTAATGGTTGCGTTGTCACGGAAATGACTTATAATGGACATTTAGAATGGATTGTTGCTAAGGTGTATATTTCTTAAAAAAATATTACATTAATGGGCTTGAGCCTTGTTTATATTTTCTTTATAAGTTTGAAAAGTATTCTTTGAACACAATATAACTAAATTTATCATAATATGAGTAGATAACATATTTGATGAACAAAAAAATCCTTAAAATATTACTTCCTCCGTTCTTTTTTAGTTCACGTTTTGACAATTGACACTATTCGTGAATTCTATGTTGACTAGGTTTTGTGATTTATAGTTATGTTGGGCTTCTAAGAGGGAGCACATTAAATAAATGGAGGTTACGGAAATGCGCATGTTAAGGTGGATGTACGGGAACGCTCTAAGAGATAGAATCAGAAATGAGGTTATTCGCAAGAAAGTAGGGGTGACAGGCATTGGAGACAAACTAAGGGGAAATCGCCTGAGTTGGTTTAGGCATGTAAGACGGAGACCCGAGGGTGCACCGGTTCGAAGAGTGGAAGAGTGGACCATGGAGGGGTTAAACGATGGGAGAGGGGACCTAAAATGACTTGTTTGGAAGGAGTTACGAAGGATATGAAGTATATGGATTTGCATGAGGATGAAGCATTGGATCTTAAAGGATGGAGGAGGAAGATTTTTGTCGATGACTATACGGAATAATCAAATTTGGTCCATGTAGCTGACCCCACTTATGGGATTAACACTTCGATTGATTGATTGATTGATAAAACTCAATCATTTGGGATCGTGTTAGAGTCATCTATATATATACTTTTATAATAATATCAATTTTGTATAAGTGTTTACATAGTCATAAACATAATTAGAGGTATGAATTGTTGAACTTGTGCTTTGGCAAACATAAATAAGAAATGTGTCATCTAAAAAAGAATGGAGGAAGTGTGTTTTATTTTTATAAACGTAACTGATCACAAAAATATTTCTGGTCAATTGTATACGAATGTAATGGGTAATGAACGTTCACATGTGGACCATATGTTACAGACCACGCGGGGTGAAAGACTTGAATTATGTCGAGGCATTATGTAATGAGAATTTCTAGAACATCAAATCCAAAATCTGTTGCAGAACGAGTGTTCTGTAACTAAATGACTAGTTCCATGGTCTATTATGTCATCAGTCAGAAAGTTTTATTTTTCTATTATATATAGCTTTTTGTACAATAAATATGTATGCCTTGTAAAATTTGTTGTTCAAATCAATTGTTTTCTATAAGAAATTTAGGATCGTCCTATATGTATTGTAAAGACAAAAGTTCAATATGCATTTTTTCAAGCAGCTGGTTGGTGGACTTCTAGTCGTCTACTACTCTACTGTGATTTTTTGAGGGTCTTTTTTCTTGTTTACGGGCTGGCTAACCTCATACCTAATCTGAATTGCACTGTAAAATCAGCAATTTTCAATTTGACGAATTCAATGTTTTAGTGTTCCATTACATAATGCCTCTCTCTTTCTAGCGTGTTCAATACATGAAACAAAAATAAGCCAGCAGATATGGAGAATGTGGGGAAACCTAATAGTTAACCAAGGTAATGTCACTGTACACAATTTTCTATCTTTAATTCTCATGTTTCTGACTATCCTTCACATGTCATGTACACATGCTACGAACACCTGGCTTGAGATGTAGCATCTGGACATACTTTGACAGCCACTATTGTTTAAAAAAATGAGAAGACAGATTAAAGTTCCATTCTAAACTGCAACATATAACATAAATAGAAGAAGATGGGTTGAAAATAGTATGCAAGTTATCCTAGGTAGCTCTACAGGATATATCAAATCAGATAGACAAAAAATCTTGGCTCATACATTAGGTTTAGTTGACTTCTGATTGTTTTCAGCCAAGTTTGTGCAACTAAATATCCAGTAAGAGTGATATCTGTCTCTTTTAGTTAGTATCTTGAGTGATATCTGTCTCTTGAGTTAGCGTCCTGGGTTTCTTTCTTAAAAAAAGTGAATTTACAGTGATGTAAATTGTTATTTTTAGAGCCTCATATATAGAAAGATGAGAATTATATAAGAGGTCCTTTTATTGAATATGGCAAAATTATGGTTGGATTAATGTTTCCAAGTGTATGAAGTGGAGTTCTTGCAATAAAAGTCAAAGAAACCGTGGTTGTTAGTTCTCCTAATAGAGTGTTGTGCATATTGGTTCTCTGAACAAAACACGTCTAGACCAAGGACTTTGGCTGTATTTCAAGATTAATTGGCTGTGTCTTTGAGCTCCAAGGACATTCGGTAGGTGAGCTTTCTTGTTCTAGTCATTTACCATAAAGAAAACTAGAGAACTCTTGTTGGAAGCACATGTATTCTTGGGAAATCTATCTAATTTTAATTTTTTAATTAATTTTTCTTTATTTATTTTTTTCCTGTTGTAAGGTGGCTTTGCAGTTAGATGTTTGGAGTGGTAAATTTGGAACATTTCTTGTACAATTATGTTTATGTCAAGAGGTTTACAGAGCGATTATTCTGAAGAAATTCTCTGACAGAATATTTGGGTTTTGGGTTTGGCATGACAGAATTTGTGCAACTGAGCTACAATAGATGTCACGTGTGGGATAAAATTATTTATCTTATTTGTCTTTACACGAATGTGGTTTGATTTATGTGTCTACCGTCTTCTGTAGTTTTCTTTGCATGAAAATCTTGCAATTTTCTGTCATTTGATTCTGATGTAGTCCTTTTGGCCCTCGATTCTTTTACTTTATTAAATTTCAAATCTATGAAGTTTTTATATTCATTTGGTCCTGTTCGGGCTATGTGTAGGTTGCTGCTGAAATTCCTTTACTGAGGAAGGACCTAGAAGTGTCAGAAAGAAAAATAAGGAACTTAAATAAATCCTACCACGCTTATATTAAGGCGGTGAAGGATCAAACCTGCATTGAAACAACAGTGCATGTTAAAAATATTCTCAACAAGAGGGTTGAATGTAAATCACTGCAGTCAGAATTTCAGGTTTAAAAATATTTTTTTTTTTTCCGTTTGCCAACAAATCAATAATCTACTTTAAACTGTATCTGATTTGCTGTATATTTAATGTCACTAGCTATGTCAAGTTGGCAACGTAAAGGCTATGGATAAAATGCCAAATATTCTGTTCGATTATGGTGGCATAATGTCCCAGAGGTTGGTTTCATGTCCAAGTTAGTGCTCTCATGTGATATAGTATTTTCTTAATCTCAGCACTTTATCAAAATGCGATTATATTTTCTTCTGATTGCTTACAGGTTCATTGTGAAGTCGATCTCTACCTACGGCTTATTTATATCAAATGTATTGAACAATGTGAAGATCTCTAAGGTGAGTGTCTCCTGAAGTGTGATTGCTTTTTTGGTATTTTCAACCAATTTGCACATCAGCTTGCTTTTCCTCAAGTCTCTCTCTATTGTTTGAATCAGATGTTCCATGGCATGGATGCCTCCACTGCTTTTTCGTTTGTTTTATGTTGCGAATCTAACCTTGCATACTCCGGAACAAAGACTATCGCGCAAGAAACACAGGTAAGCTTCACCAGCTGCTTTCTTCTGTGTGCTGTCTCCAACTTGCATACACAATTTTTTTTTACTTTGGTCACTTATCTGTTATTGACTTTTCATTGGCTTAACATGCTTGCTACTTATATCTAGTATATCTGTATTAAATTTGGTAATTAAATTTTTTTAAAGTAACTTGAATGTTAAACTTGAACAGAAATCTACCTATGATTAGAGGTTGTTTAAGCCAATATGGCTACAGGTTTCATGGTGATCTCAGATCTGAAATGATGCCAGCTAAAGTGCAAATTATGTGATGTTTTTTTCTATATTTTGCTGAGAGCCTGATACTTATTCTCATGTGTAGTAGACTGAAATCTCATCTAATTCTTCCAAGTTTTCTTATATAATTCATGCTTGTTTAACCTAATATTGTGCAATGACTTTTTCTTCATATTCTAACACATCTTGACTGAAGAATTACTAATTAAAATTCTGAACTTTCTTGAAGTAACCAAAGATAGCTTACAGTAATTCATCAAATTCTCTAAGTTCTCATATGTTGTGTCTGAGGCATATCTACACGTCTCTGAGATAGATCACACAGAATATGCCCCATCAAAGCCACTTTCCACTATCTATTAGCAGTGAAATTGATTACGTGATGTAACTCTTGTCACCTAAAGACTTAGTAAGAGCATACTAGAGAAATATATTTATAACAATGGCGTAATATATCTCATCACTTCATTTCTTGTTGTTTGATATATTTTATTTTTTATTTACCAGTGAAAAGGAGTGTTTCCTGTAAAAAGATACCATTGTTAACCATGTAATTTCGATCAATGTGCGCATAAATTGATTGTTCTTAAATTACTGACCTAATATCCTTAATTTTCTCATTTTTAATACTAGTTTGGTTATTCTATTAAAAATAGTTAGAATTGATGTGTACGCAGTAACATTTTAAAAATCGAACCCTTAAAGTGTAACAAGTTCACTTGCTGACTCTTGAATTCCCGCAATACTGCCAAAGTGGAACTAATCTTAACGCTAAAAGAATAAAGTTTGTTTTTGAAAGAGTTTTGAAACTGATAGTACTTTAGTCAGAATGTAGGTTGATACAATGTTTGAGGTAACTTATTGGTATTGTCAATTTCATGGAACTGGTAGGAAGTTGATGATGCTAGACATGATAATCATTTTTATTTTTATTTTACAAAAATATCATGAAATTTCATGCTTGCAGGTTTTATAGCAGTAATACATGTTAATTGTTTTTAGTTTTGCTTTCATCTGTGCAGAAAAGCTCTTCACTTTTGCATAATCTGCTTGATGTTGTTGAAGAAGTTGAGTTAGCCATGGTTGAGCTTAGAAATCTCACCAATACTAGATTTTCACAGCCATCAGGTATATATCCTTGTACTTATAATTTAAGTTGTTTCGTTTTGGCTTCCTGAGAACTGTACTCTATGATTGCTGATGGGAGTTTTTAAGAATTTAACATAGGAATACTGTCTGGTGTTATTGAAGGATTAGCATTGATGAGTGAAGTTGGAGTTAGGAAACTGAATGATGACAAAAAATTAATATGCTGTAAAATCAATGCAACTGCGTTAGCATGTCTAGGTATGGGAATATCATCTTCTACATAGGAAAAAATCAGTAAAAAAAATTGCAAGAAACAATTCATAGCATGATATATACAGGACATAATTAGAAATATTGACCTCTTCCAAGGATGCTGAATCGTGGTAGCTTATTTCTTCAAAACTATTGCAGAAATTGGAAATTAATCTCTGGATAAGTTGCTGAATTATTTATTTATCTCCTGTAGGTCTTTAATTCTAGTAGAAACTTGGTAAAGCACTTTTGTGTGTTAGGAGTGACTCCACTTCCTGGCGCATTAGAAGGATAAGCCCAAACTGCTACCTAGTGTACAGTAAGAAAGATATGATCCCTACTTATTTGTACACTTACTCATCACATTCCTTTAGTTTTGTTCAACCCGTTCCCTATACTCAAGGTTCTTCACAAAATAGTTGCCTAGTATGGCCATCTTCTGTGATTATAAGGGTCATCTACAATCGTCCAAGGTGAAACAAGATTTAATGTGCTTGAAGTGGGGAAAATGGGCAAATTAAAGGTGGATGATGAAGGTGATTCCTCCTCTGTACTATGTGGTGATTATAATAATGGGTTGTTGACTCATAATGACAAGGAGGGTGTGACTGTGTGAGTCAGGACAACTGGACTAGTAGGTTTTAGTTTTGGCCAACTCGATACATGTTTGTTGAAATAAGGTGATGGTTGACACCTTACAACAAGATGATGAGTTTGGAAACATCAACATGGGACACGTCCTCAAACTTTAGAGTGCGGAAAAGGGTCCATGATGTAGTTCAGGCCTTCCATATGAGGTTCAACTTGATATTGTTAGGAAAATTGACAAAACTCAAGCATGGTATGCGTCATGGGAAATTGTTGAGGCTAGATTTTTTCATTGGCTAAGCCTGTGATGGCGTCTAGACCAGTCGCACACACTCAAAGTAAACAAGGTTGCACGCACAAACACGATAGAACACAAGCACACACACTCAACTATGAAACACTTTTTTATTAATTGTGGCTTACGAAATTATGGATTCTCTCTAGAGCTCCTAAAATCTCTGCCAACAAATGAATGCCATATGCCAAGGGGTATTTATAGGCACCGACTACATCCCACTTAGTTAGGAAATAGTGCAAAAGTCCAAATGATGCAATCACATAAAAACGGAGGAAATATATAATTAGAAAGATTGATAATCAAAGATAATATAATTAGAAAATGAGAAAGGCCTTGTTTGGTAAAGAGCTTATTGGAGAGATTTTAGGTTATCGAAAGCCATTAGAGGTTTGACCAAATAAAAAAGCCAATTTGAGTGTTTGGTAAATAGCTTATGTAAAGAGCTTTTTATACTTTTTTTTAAAAAAAACTTTAAAAAAGCGCAAAATATGAGCTTTTTCAAAATTGGCTTATTGAACATTTAGCTTTTCAGTTATTACATACATTGAAATATCTAATAATTGACAACTATATACCTAACACTTTTACACAATCAAGTATTTAGAATCACCTAGTAAAATAAGTAATACAAGTAGCTATATCAATTAGCTAATCATCAAATAGAGCCAAAGTAATAAATAAGTAACAAAGCTATTAGATTTATTTGTTTGAGTCTTTTTGTAGCTTTGAAAACCCAAAAGTTACTCGGCCATTGATTAATATAATTATGAACTCCTAAACTTCTTTATCCTTGTGTTAGCCTTAATATTAACCTTTGTCCTTGCAGGTTCGTTGCATAGATGTAGTAAATTGATGTAATAAGGAATGTATGTTTTACTTAAGTTTGAGTGGGAAAGCCCCACTTTACATCTCAGTTTGCATGTTTGTTATCCTTGAAAATTTATTTTGTAGACATTTTGTTATGTTAAGTTGTTATTTTACAAAGCAAGTGTATGTGATATATCTTTGTTTTACAATGCATGCATTGTTTTGATGTTTCATGCTATTCATTCATAAAGTTTGACAACATTTTTTACTAATCTATATTTAGATCAATTTTACTAATCTATTAATAATTGACTATAACATGTAAAATAGTGCGGTGGAGTCTGTATATTTTCAATGTTTTTTTTCTTTAGGTTTTTAATATAATAAAAATAATGAATGGTCAAAGTAGTGTTCAAGATCTCTTTTAGATTCTTGTGCCTTTATTTTCTTCTTTGCCCTATTTATGGATTTGGCTTCTTTAATTAAGAACTAATATCTTACAAACCCCAACCTGACAAAAGTGGCTTAAATTCCTTGATGCTAGGAGCATTAAGAGATAAGAATAGGCTATACAATGCAATGTTTTCATTCTTTATCTATAAATTAATTTTGATCATACTCTTACCAAGTTCGGCAATTGATCTATTTGCATCTAATCTTTTCTAAATTTTTATCCTTGGGAATATATCCTTTCAATAGTTTCTGTTTGAAAGATGGATTTTCTTTATGTCAAATTTTCAGATGGAAAACTTGATTTGCAATTGTGCTTCACGGATTTCAACAATGGTGCTAGAGTGGCTTTGAGCATTGATATCACTTGTTTGAATAGGTAAACTTATATGAACACTTGCCTACCTATGCTTCTCCCTATTTTCTACTTGAGGGATATCCGGATATGGGTAAAATACCCAGTGCTTTATAAGTTATGCACCATTGTGCTCTTACCTTAAAACTCTTATGTTGCCATCTTTAGGAGCAGCAGCATTTTATGATTGAGTACATTTTTGGGTTCTTGGTTCATTTTCTTTTAGATGATGTCATTTTGTGGCAATTTTTAGCATATATCTAATGCAATGAGAGGCAACAATCACTCTTTATGAAAACTAAAAACTAATTTCATTAATTTGGGTTCAATTGTGGGATGAATGAGGCCACGTACTGTATCTGATTGAGAATGAGATTGACCACTAGGGGAGAATAGATAGATCACTAAGTAATTCCATGACATGGAATGGATCCAAAGGTTTTGTATATAGGGCCTTTAATGTGTTTGAGCCAAGTGAATTTTGACTCTAAAAGTTGAATAAGCACACAGATGAAGCTTCATAAGAAGCCACGTGAAATTTGAATTTTATAAGAAGATGAATTTGGACCTTATCACTCTATAAATTTAGGCATTATTTGGTGGGAGAGATGGAGGGGGGGGGGGATTAATGGTTGCAACTCGCCAGGGCTGTGGAGGTAAGGGTTTAATTAAAGTGGCTGGTAGGGGTGGGGGAGATTCATTAAAATTTTATTTGGCTGTTTAATTACGAAGTGTAAGTTAGGGTCATAACAGTTTAACTACTGGGTGATAAACAAGCTCTCCTGAGGCTTTGAAGTACCGGGTGATTGGGGGACAAGCCCTTTTATTAGGCTAGAACAGTCAATTTGATTCTTTTCAAATTTTAGATAACCAGTAACAAAGTACAGTGTCACTACTTCCCACAATTTCTGAACTTTGATTGTATTCAAATTTCAAAGATGGTCTATCTTACTAGTTAGGTTTTGTGTTTTCCTGGAGTTTGATAGGCTTTGCTATTTGTATTGTTTCAGCTGGAAGTGTCTTTGGTTTATTAATATTGTTTTGTTGTGAACAGAGGAATTTATCCAGCACAAGTTGTGCCATATGAGGTACAAGGAAAGGCTGCTAGAAGACACAGGTCTTTTCAGTTACTATTAGACAACATAAGTAGTGCTGTTCGCGGTGTTAGATGTGGGCATATGAGGATAATAAGTCTTTGTCGCTGTGTTTCTAGGACGATTCAAGCTAATTGTATGAGCTAGGCAGATACCTGCCAATAGAATCCTCATGTTGTCTTGAATTGGATGTAGGTGGTGTATTTTGTATGCCTAAAATGTAAGCATTCAGTCGCTTGAATGTGCTCACCTCATGAGGAAGATTGATGTTGCATAAACAAGCTTTAGTTATTGCAGCAAAGAAAAACTATTATTGTACTCCGATTTTGTACAAGTGTATATATGGAGCTGTTTTAGGTCTTGCCTGGATTTGGTATACATTTAAAAGGGGAAAATATAACTGGGAAAGATGTTTGAAAGGGGTAATTAATTCTATTTCAAGGTTGGACAACGTAATTTCTATGGCACTAAAAAAAAATTCAAAAAAAATTCAAAAAAAAAGACAAAAACCGATGTTCTTTATGTGGCTTGTTAACTTGTTATACTCTGTTTTTGCCCATTTTATTCGAATTAGCTAATCCAAATCTTTTTCTTCTAGTTCCAAGCTCTTTGTTCGAGATTTTATCGTAGTAATATCTTTCTCAACTCTGAAAAAAATAAATTACAAACATAATTATTGTAAAGATAGATTAAAATAGCACTAGTATGAAATAAAACAACATAAAATTTGATTAAATTATCTCATGCAAATTTTAATTAAAGTTATTTTAAATATTACTTAGTTGAGAAAGTGAGAGGTGGGGTCGGGCCTCGGACCTTGGGGAATGCGATGTGTGGGTGGGTTGTGGGCCCTCTATTTTTTTGGAGAAACTTTTTATTCCTTTCTTTGTTAATAGAATATTCCACATTTAATACGTTTTTTTTTTTACTGTAGGGATTTCTGACTGTTGGAGTTGATTTAAGGGTTGTTACACTCCCTTAATATCGGTTCTTAATTTACCGAGTTATGGCTGGGCAGTTTCCTTGTATTGTGCTAACAATTCACTTCCTCTTCCTTACTCTGCCTATATATAGGCGTCTTCCTAGTTTGACAACAACTTTCTATCAATAGATTGGAGGAATGAGTGCTCGATATAGGGGATATGATCTATCTGGTCATTTTCTTATTTTTTCTGCATGGTATAGCTAGGACCCTTCAAATCATGTTTGAGCCTATATCAGCCATTGTTGTAAGCCCTTTGGACGAGTTGCTGACTTACAAGTATGAACTGTCGAACTAGCTCATGAAGCTCTTGTAGCCCTTAATGCTTTTCAAGCACTAAGCATGAGCTTTAACTTACTCTCTTGAGTAAACAAGTAATTTTGTACATTGAAAAACGTAAAAACTCTAGCATTGCCGTTAAGAAGAACGGTACAAATAATTAATTATTAATATTAAAGTATAAAGCATCTGATTACCACGAGATAAACTCGGTAACCCTCGAACTAGTAAATAGTAAGGGAATAAAGAGTGTGGCAAAGGAGGAGGGTTTTAGAGAACCCAATTCACTTTACAGACTTAAACTCTTTTTTTTGGGTTGTTTTTCCAAGTTTACCTTGCCATCAACAACTTCACATACACACATATATATAGTCGTAGAGTGGTGAAAGAGCAGCACCAGCAGCAGCAAAAGCTTAAACTCTCAACAATGGTGGACGTCACCGTCGAGAAGACTGAAGAGGAGCTCCGCAAAGAGCTTGAAGCTTTGCAGCGTCAACAACGCGAGGTTTTCTTTCTTTTTTCTTCTCAATTTCACTTCTGCTTCCTCAAATTTCTGCACAATTTTGACGATGAATTGTTTTTTCTGGACATTACAGAGCGTATTAGGGATCCAAAAGGGCTTCGTCGTGGAGGTTTTTCTGGGAATTCTCCCAGAAATTTTGGTCCCAATCAACGTGGTTTTGTCAGACCTGTAATACTCTCTTCTTCTTGTTTTGTTGTTTCATCAAGTTTAAAAAATTAACGGATTTTCTGAATAATTGATTGATTGATTGTAGATTGATAGGACGAATTTGAAGGATGAACCTCCTGCCAAGCGTCGATTGTGTTCTGCAGTTGTTAAGGTTTTGATTTTTCTTTTGTTAAATGATTTTGTGGTGCCCTAATCTTGAAGTTCATAAATTAATTGTGGGTTTAATTTGAAATTGGAATTTGTTCTCGATTTTGTGTTATGGGTGAAATTTGATGAATTGAAGGTGGATGGTGATGGGGAAGTGGCTGAAGGGAAAAATCCTGTTAGTGGAGAGCAAAATGAGGGTTCAGCTGCTGCTGTCTTGGTTTCGTTTAGCAAGAATGATCAAAGGTCTTCTGTTCTGCAGCAAAGTCGATTAGGTTCTGCGAAAAACAGTGATTTACGGGCAGATAATGTTAGTGATTTGGAAATGTGATTTCATGTTTTACTAAATTGGCTTTTAGTTTGATGAACAAGGTTTGATGTGTCTCTTGGAATTGTGTTTTAGGGAGCTGATCATCAAGTAAAGGAACCTAGAGTTTTGCCTAAAGACGAGGATCCAAGATTGGTTAATAGGAATAGGAGGATGTTGGGTCAACTTTTGGGGACCCTGGAGGTATGTTTAACATTTAATTGTTTGCCCCTCTCCCGCAAATGTTATCTCGGTGTGGATGAATTTTATGTATGTTGGAGCACAATTGTTTGTTTGAAGCTTAAAATTGGTTGCAGGAAGTCCTATTCTCTTCACGTCTATTTCCCCTTGAGCCTGTTTCTAATGTCAGCTACTTTTTTTTTTCCTTGAGAAAATCCTAGATTATTGCAGTTTGTAGACTATTGTAAGTTTGTAAGCATTACTATATGTGGGTTGTTCATTTAGTATCATAATTGAAGCTTCCCAGTAGTCTTGTAACTGTAATAGTGACTTAATGTTTTTTATCACAATTGGCAGGCGGAGTGTGTCTTGGTGTTGATACCATTAGTCCATTAGCAACATTTAACTATATTATGATTAAAACCTTGTAGAGGTGATACTGAATTCTGCCTGGTCAAGAACTTTTTTTTGCTACAACTAATCATAATAAAATTCCAAAATTATTGTAATATAGGTTTCTTTGTATAGGTACTTGGTAGTATTCTGTAAATGCTGAAATCTGGCATCCTTTAGTTATAGCGTAGCCTTTTCTATACAAGAAGAATGACCATACTCTCCTTGTGCCAAGTATCACTATATCCTTTGATGGGCACAAGTAGATTTTTCTTATGACACTCATGGTGATTTTTGGTCGTGGTGAATTTCTTTGCCAACATAGTGAATTAGTTATCATGGTACACTTTTAGGATAACTCAACTTGATTTGTGAGTTTTAATAGTCTTCTTGCATTCCTTTTTGGGATGCCCTCATAAAATCTTCCCTATAACTTTGAAACTTAATCTACTAAACCTATGTGACATGGAACTGCCCTCCCTGCAATAACTCTCTTTCTCTCACACGCTCTCCATATCCCATGTTATGTGGGCCTTATCAACCACTAACTTTCTTTAACTCAGATTTTATATTCTTCTTTCCCCACTATCTACCAAACCTACCCACCCATGCCCTACAAAAACTTTAATATGTGTGCACAAACCTAGAAAAAAATTATGGCTCCATTTGTTTGGGTAATACATTTTCATGGAAAATGATTTTCCTTCATTTCTCTATTTTCCTTTGTTTGTTTTGTTAAAGGGTAGAAAGAAATTTTCCCATAGGTGAAAATTTACTTTTTAGAGAAGGAAAGACATTTCCTTTGTAGAGAAGTATGACACAGTTTCCTCCTTAGTCCTTAATCCTCACTTCTCAATTTTCTCCTCTCTATCCTTTCTCTCCCTTTACTCCTGTTTTCCTTATTCTCCATAAGGTTCCTATTATCAAACAAACAATGGAAAATACTTTCCAGAATCATTTTTTTCATTGAAAATTGTTTTCTTTAAATGATGATTTTCCATGAAAGGTGTTTTCCATAAAAGCAAACGGAGCCTATATGTTGAAGGGGGGAGTATGCACTTCACATCTTAGATTACATACTACCTCCATTTCATATTAAATGCAACAAAGGAAATTTTTTATGTCTCACAAATCATACCCCTTTGTTGCAATTAATATGAAATGGAGGTAGTATTAGGAAGTTGGTTACGCATTATTCTCATGGGGAATATGTTGTTGCATTTATTGTATATTTTACCTTAAAAGGGGTTCTGTGATGGGAGGGCTTTTTTTAAATGGATTCTTGAATGATTTGATTTTCAATAATTTGTTATAATGCTGAAAGACTTAGGGCCTTATTCATTTATATGTATTGATAAAACCAGGTGGAGCGAGGGTACCAGGTTTACTTTGTGTTTACTACAAGTTTGCTTTGTGGGTGTTAGTAGGGCAGTGAAGATGTGGTGGTGTAATGCATTTTTAGCTAATTTGTGGTGCCTCTGATTTTAACGAAATGTACATATCTTCCCCTAAACTGATAGAATAGCTTAGTTTGCTTCTTTGTGGGCTACGACATGGACTTTGAGTACTCTGTAGGTACATAGTGAGGGAATTCAATGATAATTGCTATATTCTACTCTCTCCCTATTTTTTTATTCTGCTGACTTTCCATTTTAGACCTTTTTTTTTTTGTTTTATTCACTTTGCTTTATTTTATTTTTAGTATACCTTTTTTTTTTTAAAACCATTTTACCCCTTCAACCCCACAATAAATACACATTTTTATTCTCTCTTACTTTATTTACTTTATTCTTACATAAACCCACTTATTTACATTCTTCTCTTACTCTATCCTACTTTATCTTATACTCACTCTCATTTTTTAATCAATCAATCAATTAAAGTCTTAATCCCATAAGTGGGGTCGGCTACATGAACCAAAAGTGATTATTCCGTATACTCATCCACAAAATCTTCTTCCTCCATCCCTTACGATCAAATACCTCATAAATTCTCATGCAAATCCATATGCTAATATGCTTCATATCCTTCCTCACTCCTTCCAACCAAGTCATTTTCGGTCTCCCTCTACCTCGTTTAACCTCTCCGTGATCCCTCACATTTTTAATATTTTCTTAATTTATCAATAGTGACTGAGTAGAACATAAAAGAATGGGGGAAATTTTTTTTGGTTGTTTTGGGTACTTTAATTTTACTCTGTTCTTGTAAATTCTGCATCTGCTCACATATAGAAATTCTTTTTTATCGATAAAAAGGGGTGTGTTTGCTCTTACTGACTAATTCTTTAAATCAGATTTTACTTGATACTTTATTGGTTAAACATCCGTAATTTGTTACTTCTTTCCCTACACGTTTCAAAATCTGTTGTATCAGTCCATTACAAGCTTATAATTGTGGTGGGTTTCTTTTTTTTTTTTCTTTTTTTTTTTGTTCTTTTTCTTTTGGTGATTATTATCAGTTCTGCTCTTCGCAGAAAGTTTGAATTTTTTTCTTTAATTTTTTTAAAACTCTATTATATCTTTGCTTCAGAAATTTAAGAAGGAAGACATGCAACTATCAGGGACAGATGCATACATGCGAAAATCAAGCTCCTTGCAAAAACTGAGTACATCTTTCCCAAGGTTCTTCACTGTTAGAAGACATGGAATGTCTTGCTAGTTCCAGTTCTATCATTTCGTTATTTGGCACAAATTCTATCCTTGATGCATAATTTAAGTAGTGGTCATTTATTTATCTTTTTATGTATCGAGCAAAGCTGAACAAACAATCAATGTTGTGATCAGCTATTTGGTTGTTGAGTTTTATGTCAATGGTTTGCATTTCATATCATAACATTTAACATTGAACTTTGGTGCGGAGGTCCAAAAAATGTGTAGATCTTGCTAGACTTTGATAGTAATTTCTTGCTGACAGAGGAATTTGATCCTACTAGGCTGAGCAAAAAGCATGTGAAGAAAGTGAGAAGCTGCGGCAACAAGAGCGTGAGCGAATGGCTGAAAACAAGAAGCGTGATTTAGTATGCTATCTATGAACCCTTCTTGTGTGTTGGAGATTGTAGTGCTTTTTACTCTTCTTATTTGTTGTCTGACCCAGCCACATCATGTATGTCTTATGATGTTAATTTTGTTAGGTACTTAGAGCTCGTGTAGCTGCCAAGGCCGAAGAGAAAAAACTGAAATGGTTGTTTCTTCAATGGAGCGAGCATCATAAGAAGCTTACAAATTTTTTAAGGTACCACTCCTTCCTTAAATAAAAGCCCAATAGGGCACACAGTTTTTGGGACGAATTATTGAGGAGTGTTGACAATTAAAGCTGAATATACAAAGAAGTGTAAAATAGTTTATTTCTAGGGAAAGTATTAGGGAGTTTTATTGATTTAATGTGAATGTAAAAAATAAGTTAATGGTATACATGAGAAATGGGCTTTAAATAGGGACGGAGAAAGTACCTTTATGTATTAGCTTCAAGGAAATTTTTGAGTATCGAATTTATTTAAATTTTCATTCATTTAACAATTTTCTATTCTGCTGCAGGTTAATTTTACTCTAGGTCCAAAAAGTATCCATATTTGCAATTTTATTGAGCCAAAGATAAGTTTCAATTCATGTGCATTCCGTTCAAGCAACAAGATGACTTGATTTTTACCTGGTTTGGCATGTGATATTAGGTATTAATTTAGGTCAATTTTCCAGTTATTATGGCTGATTAGAAAATATTTTTCTTTTTTTATGGTCTCAGGACAAAGACAGAGCCACAAATCTATTACATGTTTGCTAAGTCAATGGAAGAGGATGCGGAGTTAAGTGAAAAAAAGAAAGAACAGGTGATTTTTTAAACTATATTGTATTATGTATAGGAAGCTGAAAATCCTATTTTTTTTGAAAATAAAAGAGCGAGTGGAAATTAGAAAATATTCATATTTTGTCGTATTTGCCAATTGAATTTGTTATTCAAGGAAGTCTATTTTAGAGGGCCCAGTATAGGTTTATATTTGTCACCATTCCAAGTTGGTAGCCTAAGCTATTATTTGATTCCATACCAAAGTACATAGTCTACGGACAGGGTAGCTAAAACTCCTTTCATATGCGTCATTGAACTGCAGGCATTCTTGGAATGGAAGACTGCCAGGAGAGAAGAGCTTTCTGCCTATTAGAAAGAAATCCATGAGCAGTATATTTCTAATGTTGAAAAGGATCTCGATAGGTTGATGACTACAAGAAACTCAAGACAAGCAAACAATGATGCGAACTTGCAGGGAACCATGGACAAAGAGTTGGAAATGCATAGGCTGGAACATGGGCCCCTAATGCCAACAATGAAGATGAAGAGGAGGTTGAAGATATAAATGTTGGTGAGGACGACATGATGGATGATGTCCTTGGCCTTGATGAGAATGAGAGAGTTGATGAGCCGACCAAATGTGAAGAAGATGATGGCAATACACAATTGAGTTCTCTGGAGTAGTTGAATTGGAGACTTTACTGGTTTACGTTGATTTTTGTTTGGTTTCCTTAGGGCTCCATAGTTTTCAAAGTCCGTTAGAATTGTGTTGAAATTGTGTTATCG